AAAGTGAAATCAATATTGACCCCTCTCCACTCTAAATTAAATGTTTTCTTAATTTGTTTATCGATTTTCAAAAAAATTAACTCATTTTCAAGCACAAATTGTCCCTTTTTTTTCTCCATTTTCTACTGCTCTCAGTCCTACTATTGTTATTATAACCTACTGGTATTTTCTCTTATTTCATGCAAGCTTCCGTCTGATTCAGTATTATGATTGATAGTAACTCTAAATGAGGGGAATTGTAGTTAGAGTTGGTGAGACAGAGCAAGAGATATGTTTATATGTTACATATGTTTGATAGGTTTTTATATCAAAAAATTGTGATTACTTGATAAATGTTTATTTTAATTGATTTAAGGCATTTCTCTTCTTTCGTGAAGACATTCTGATGTGTTCGTCCATCTGACGATGATAAACTACTTGAGTGAATTTGTAAATGTGTGGAGATATTTTCGTCTATTTTCATATCATATGGAGGTAAACGACTTGACTCTCTTAAAAAATATAATAAATAATCTTGTTTTAGTTTATGTATACACTTTATGTTAAAATTCATATGTTGTCCGGTTGATGAGAGTAAAGTCATCGAATATCAACTTTGAGAAAAAAATGGATGATAAGTATTTGCCGCTTTTTATTATTTTTTATAAATAAAGTTTATACTATATAATTAAAATATGTTAGTTTTCTATATTCATGAAAAACCTTCATTCATTTTATAGAGTAAAGTTGGTATGAATAATTTTACTTTAGTTTTATCCATTAATATCTCTGAGTTTTTTTTTAAAGTTTGATAACTATTCTCTGCAAGTTCTTCCATCATATTTCGTAACTGTTCACCTTCTAACTCTTTTTCACATTCTCTTTGTTTATATTTAAAATAACATTTTTGATTTTTTTTAATTCATAGAGAATTTCTAGTTTTCATGGCTTGTAAAATATGTATTTGTTTCATATGAAGGATTTTATTTTAATTTTATACATAAATCTTCCTAAGGTTTTTAAAAAACAACAAATTTGATAACTATTCTTTGTAAATTTTTCAATCATTTTTTTATTTGCTCGCCTTCCAAACTCTCTTTAACAAATAGATAATTTTTTATTTTTATGGTGTATAAAATAATTATTTATTTTTAATTTGAAATTAATATAATATGGAAGCCTAAAAATAAATATCCAAAATATAGAAAAGTATATAAAACGACCAAAATATTTAGAAGCCTATTTTTAAAATAAAAAATATGTTGAGGTGGACATTCTAAATAGAGAGATAATTGTCTAATTATATATATGATTTTCAAAATTTATTGTTATCTGGATTTTGTTTTGACATTCTTACCAAACTCTAGTGTTATTGGTTTGATGATTTTTAAAAACAATACAAAATTTATTGTTATTCAAATATTTTAAGTTTTAATGATTCTATGATTCCACTAAGAAATTATTATTGGGACATAAATTTTAAATAATCAAACACATGAAACAAAACTTTCAAAATACTATCTAGTTTATCCTCTCTTTAAGATTCTTAAAATAATTATAGTAAAATATTTTTATAGATTTTTAAAATATACAAACTTTCTTTAACTCCAACAAAAACTCTTTACAAATTTAATAAATTTCTTAACTTTTAAAATCAAACAACTCTGTATAAATAAATCTTGCAATAATCCCTCCTAATAACAAAAACTCTCTTCAAATTTTATAAAAGATTTCACATTGCAATTTTCTAGTATGCATCTACATATAACATGATGAATAAACCTAGTACCAAACTATTTTCTATAGTTCTTTAAAATCTTTGTTATTAACACATAAATTTTATAGAGTGATTTTAATTAAAACACCCAAGTAATCTTGAAATTCAAAAATAGAGTGTGATAACTTTAATTAGATCAATACATAATACATACTAACGATTTTGCATTTATGTTTGTTGATAACGAGTTAAGCTCAATGTCATTAACCGAATAAATTTTTTTGTGTGGGTGACATCTCAGTAAAAATAGTTATATTATAGTATCTAAGTAATGCTACATGTTAACTTTAAAAAGTTAATATTACAATGCAAATGTTAGCATATGAGTAAACATTGTTAATTGAATATGTTAGTATGGTAACTATTCATCATTGGATTATTATTTGGTTTTAGTCGATAACATTAGTTATCCCACTAACTAATATATTATTATGATAATTATATAATTATCATGCTAACAAATATGGTATTATGGAAATATATATTATGTGTTATATAACATATGTTTATTGTGTTAAACCATTAAAATATTAACACCATAATAATTATAATAATAAATTATATAAAATGACAATATGATAATTAAAATATGGGTTTTCTGCAACTTAACAATTGAAGTGGTTTTTTTTTTACAACTTTACCATCAACTTTCAGAAAATGCAAGTCAACCCTCTAAATTTTGGTCAATCCGCTATATAATCCTCGTGTGTATCGATGACATGTCAAATATAGATATCGTTTAAAAATTAGATGGAATATGAAATGGACCGTTTTGATTAGTAAAAAATGACAAAAAGTTTAAAAGTATATGTCATTTTGAAAGAAAAAAAATGGCAAGTGAGAAAATTTGACATGATTTTCTTGTTCGCATTTATCTTATTTCTGATTTAAGGATTTTATTTACATACTTTGGTTTATCTGTTCCGAGAATTAATAACTAAAATACAGCAGTTCTATTTTTATCCCTTCAACTTTATCATCATCGTCTTTCACCATTGAATCTCTGGATTGGGTCTCTGTACAAACTTTACTATCCTACAAACCAAAATAACCTATATCAATTTAGAGAAAAACTTAGAATTTAGGTTTAATTAGGAAAAGTTCATCACTCTTGATGAACAGTAAATTGTATAGTTCATCTTTTTCTTCCTCTTCAACTGCTGAAATACCATTATTTCTAAAAAATGTTCTCATATGCCATTATTTAGTTTAATAATTTTTTTAATTTTTTTATCAAACTAAAATTTAGAAAATATCTTTTAAACCTTTGGTGAATCAGAGAAATTACATAATCCAACCTAATATATTGGGAATATCCACCCAAACCCATGTCAAATATGGATCTTCATATTAATTTAATCCATTTGGTAGGGACCACCAAAATACCCAAATTTCCAATTCATTCTCATCGTCTTCTTCATCGAGAGAGGTGATACAGATTTTTTGTGTTCCGACGAAATCTCCTCTCCTCTCTTCTATCCTCTGTAATTGTAAATCGATGAAATCTCATCTTCCTCTCTTCGTCCGTTTCCCTCATCCTCTTTGTCTCTCTTCTTTGTCTTCTCTTCTCCGGATTTTCTCTTTGTCTCTCTTCTTTGTCTTCTCTTCTCCGATGTGGATGGTGATCCGATGTGAAGTTGTGGATCTTGTAAAGAACGAAGATCGATGATGCTCTATCCATCATTCAATCGCCCCACAATCTTCCAATCAATCTAGGGTTTCAAAAGGTCAGTTTCTGTTTAGACTAATTTTGCATCAAATCGATCTAGGGTTTCAGAAAGTGGTTTTTGGTTAGACCAATTTTGCATCAAATCGATCTAGGGTTATACTGTTTGTATCAGTTCTCCTCTAACTCTAAGTTGTACCATTTGTACTAGTTGTACCATTTGTATTACTTGTACTAGTTGAACTCAATTCTCTCAGTAGTACCATTTTGTACAAATTGTATCATTTGTAACAGTTGTGATATTTGTACTAGTTGAACTCAATCTCTCGGTTGTACCATTTGTATCAGTTGTCTTCTAACTCTTAGTTATACCATTTGTACAAATTTTATAACTCTCAGTTGTACCATTTGTACTAGTTGTCCTCTAATTATCAGTTGTATCATTTGTATTAGTTGAACTCAAACACTCAGTTGTACCATTTGTATTACTTGTACTAGTTGAACTCAATCTCTCAATTGTACCATTTGTACTAGTTGTATCATTTGTAACAGTTGTACTATTTGTACTAGTTGAACTTAATCTCTCAATTTTTACCACTTGTACCAATTCTTATAACTCTCGGTTGTACCATATCAGTACCCATTCTTATAACTCTCAGTTGTACCATTTGTACTAGTTGTGCTCTAACTCTCAGTTGTACCATTTGTACTAGTTGAACTCAATCTCTCAGTTGTATCATTTGTACTAGTTGAACTCAATCTCTCAGTTGTATTATTTGTACTATTTGGCCCTCAGATTAATGAATGGCAGTGAGATTATTTTTTCAAAGAAAGTGGCATTTCAGCCGGACACCTCGTTCGGCTATTGGGTCTATGGGAAAAGAAGAAGAAAACAAAAAGATGGCATCAAATAAAGAAAAAAAAGATCTTGATGAATCAGTCTACCTTGACAAGTGGAGCTTAAATCGTCAGTTGCAGCGTAGCTTCTCCCATAGTGAAGCAAAAGAAGAAGAATAAAGAATGGCGTCGAGTGAAAAAGAAGAAGATTGAGTTACTTATCGAGTGAAAAAAGAAGAAGATTGAGTTATTGATTTATATTTTTTTGGTTGGTTCTGATTAAAATCCCCAATTATGGGTAAATGAAGAAAATTGATTTTGAAATTAAAAATTTTCTAAATCTGTAAAATTTTAGGAGTTAATCTAAGATTTATGGGAATTTTGTGAGTGGCATGTGAAATCAATGTTGTTGGAGCTTAACCTGATTAAAAGATGGATTTTTTATTGAATAAAAGTGATTACATGGAAATTAATAATAACAACAACAAGATTTCTGAGATTAAAAACAAAAAACAAACAAGATTTTTTCTCAAAAAAGTCATCCCTTTGATCTTATGGTAGTATGTGAAGTTGTTACAATTGAGTATTAAAAGAAACTTAAATCAAATTGTTAACACGTGTTTTAGAAAAAGACAATAAAAGTTTTCAATATAAAAATGTTTGTTACAGACGGAAGTTATATAATAGGTTGATTAAGACTGTTTTTTTTTTTTTGGTCAACTGAAAATTGATTAAGATAAATTAAACTGGAGCAGGTGCAAGAAGTAGACCGGGAAAACAACTGGTTAAAGATTTCTTTGCAATACAATCTGCTACTCTATTGCTTTCTCTCGGGACAAAGGTGAAAGTGATCGAGTTGCATAGAGATGCAAGAGAGTTGATATCAAAAAGAAGACCATAGACTTCCTTGATTTGCTCCTGCGAATTGATGGCTCGAATGAGCGTTTGGGCATCTGATTTGATACACAGATCGGTGAAATCCATAGATGATAATGAAAAGGGGCGCCGCGTCTGTACGGGCGGGCGGAATCAAGGCATTGTTTAGGGCTGATCTTATAGCCAACGCCTCGCCTACCAGCACCGATCCCCCGATTGGAGCTGTCCCGTGACCTTGGTGTAGTTCACGATCCGCCACATCAGTGAAGATCCAGTCGAGTCATGCATGTCTTGTATCTGGTTTCTAGGCCGCATCAGTGTTAACAACAACTGTTTCAGGGCGAGACTGGCTTGGGGTCCTGTGTGTGGAATTGGGGGTGTTGCGATCCTCCTTTGATTGGGCTTGTGACCATTCTCTAGCATCTGATATGGCCTTGTTAATGGTGTCTAGTAGGGAGAAACTCCTTTCTTCGAAGATTAGCTGGTTCATTGTTGTCCAGATGGCCCAGCATAGCCAGGGGAATAGAGGTCCTGGTCCGGCTCCTGTTGGAGGTAGGCAGATCATTTTCTTTGCTGAGGAGAGAGCAGTCGTGAATTCTTTTATCCAGAGAGGATCAATTGTATGAGCAAATGGGGCTAGGGCCCAGACTTGTTGAGCGAAACTGCAATGTTGGAAGAGATGCTCTGTTGTTTCTAGGTCCCCGCAGTAAGCACAACAAGCTTGCTCCAGTAGCCCCCGGTTTAGGATATTTTCCCCCACGGAGAGAGCACCTTGAACTATTTTCCAAAGGAAAACCTTCATTTTTAGGGAGAAGGATCCTTTCCAGATATCTACATTCCAGTTTATCCTTGGTCCTTAGAGGTCAGATTGACTAGGAGGATCTGCAGATGCAATGTGGTAGCCTGATTTTGCTGTGTATACTCCTGTATTTGTTGCCAGCCACATGTAGGTATCTCCCGCTCCTGCTTTGCTTAATTGCAGAGAGAGGATTTGCTCTTCATATTCAGGTAGAATGTTCTTTATCTTTTCTCTATCCCAAGTGTTCGTTTCTGCACATACCAAGTCTGACACTTGCATGTCTTTTGATTGCAGGTCCGGGGGTCCCACCGGTTGAATTGGTGTTGTTAGTGATAGCCACAGCTCATACCACAGGGAGGTGTTTCTGCCATTTCCTATTCTTTTGCCTAGCTGTTTGAGTAGCACATCTCTTCCAATGAGTATCCCGCGCCAACCATGGGAAGCACTTGAGGTTATCGGGACCTCAAGAAGGTGTTGTTCTGTATGATACCTTCCTTTTAGGACTCGTGCTAATAGGCTGTCTGATTGTTGATCAATCTCCATGCGATTTTCCCCAGCAGGGCATCGTTGAAGATTTGTATGTCTCTGAAGCCTAGCCCACCGTGTTTCTTAGACCTTGTAAGCTTTTTCCATGAGAGCCAGCATATTTTCTTCTCTACCGGTTTTGCATCCCAGAAGATCTATTTAAAGCTGATTGTATTCTTTTACAGAGACTTGTGGGGAGTTTGAAGCATGTCATAGAGTGGGCCGGAATGGCTGCAAGAACAGATTTCAGTAAGGTGAGTTTTCCGGCAGTTGAGAGGAAACGATTCGACCAGGAGATTGATTTTGTATGATCCTATCCACTATTTGTGTGAACAGATCTTTCTTTCTCTGGCCAAAATTCTCTGGAAGGTCCAGGTACTTTCCTTGACTGCCTTCTTTGTCAATCCCTAGTGATCTTTTTACTCTTTCTCTTACTTCAAATGGGGTTTTCCTAGAAAATATGATAGCAGATTTTCCCAGATTTATCATCTGTCCTGAAGCCATCTCATACTTCCGAAGGATTCCTTTAAGAGCTTCACAGCATTATGGGTTTGTTTTACTGAAAACATGGTGTCATCAGCAAACAAGAGGTGGTTGAGATAGGGACTTCCTCTCGCTACTCTTAGTCCCGGTAAGATTCCGCTAGATGGAGCCTTTTTGCGTAAACCCGACAAGACTTCTCCACATAGTATAAATATATAAGGTGACAAAGGGTCTCCCTGACTTATTCCTCTCTGTGGTAGGACTTGTCCATGTGATGCCTCATTGACGAGGAAATAGTAGGAGACAGTAGTAACACATTGGAGGATCCAATTTATCCACTTTGGATGGAAGCCGAATCTCTCCAAAACTGCAGAGATGAAACCCCATTCCAGTCTGTCATAGGCTTTGCTCATATCAGTCTTGACAGCCATAGAGCAATGTTTTGTAGCTTCTGAAGTCTTGAGGTAATGTAGTGTTTCATGAGTGATCTGCAATTGCCCTTTTGGGAACAAACGCTGATTGTGTTTCTGATATTAGTGAAGGGAGTAGACTTTACAGATGCTTTGTGAGGATTTTTGACATGATTTTGTAATATTCAGGGCAATAGGTCTATAATAAGCGACTGCTTTGGGGTTTGGCATCTTCGGGATCAGGCGTACATGGGTTGCATTGACCGAAGTCGGGATAAACCCTGAGTCAAAGATATCCTTGATCTCTTCGATGATACTCGAACCTATCACCTTCCAGTTTGATTGAAAGAAGCTTGCAGAGAACCCGTCTGGTCTCGGGCCCTTATCTGGATGTATGAAAAAAAGAGCATCTTTCACTTCCCCTGCTGTTGGCGTTGCAATGAGTTTTTTATTGTCGTTTAGAGAGACGCATGGGTTGATGGTTTGGGCCACTGTGTCAGTACATTCAGATGCTCTGGAAATAAAGAGGTCCTAGAAATACTCATTTATCACGCCAACTATCTCATTTTCCTCAAACACCTCTTTTCCCCCTATATCTTCTAACACTGCAAATTTGTTTACAGTTGTTCTTCCTTGGGTGGTAGCATGGAAGAATCCCGAGTTCTTGTCCCCTAGAGCTAACCATAACGTTCTGCTCCTCTCTTTCCAGTAGTCCTCTTCATCAAGATAAGCCTTTCAAAGCTTTAGAGTTATTTCTTTTATACTTTCCTCGTAATAAATAGGGCTAGTCATTGCAGCTTCTAGCTTTGACTTTTCTTCCTCTATTGCTTTCTGGCTGTTTTGATAGTGATCATGATTACATCTTGATATAGCTTTTCGGCAGTTATTGATTCTTTTTTCAACTGTAGCCGTCGGTTTTAAGAGCCAAGTGTCTGAAACTAATTTAAATATTTCTCGATTGTTTTGCAATCTCCTATCATATCTGAACAGGCCTCTTCTTTTGTTTTCCCCTGGGTCCAGGATCGAGGCAACTGGTCTGTGATCGGAGCCCTCATACTGTAGGTACCTGCATCTGCCTTTTGGATATAGTACTGCACACGCACTGTTGGACATGGATCTGTCCAGGCGACAGTGGACAAGGTGACTGTGGCGGACACCTCTCCAAGATAGATGATTGCCGGAGTGTTGCAAGTCATAGAGGTCACATTGTGAAATGAAAGCTCTGAAATCTCCAAAGGTACCCTCTACTCTCAAAGGGCCTCATGATTTCTCCGAGTTGTATGTGATATCATTAAAATCCCCTGTAAGGAACCATGGAACGTCTCGTAGATTTGCCATGTTTGTGAGCGTTTCCCAGATTTCCCTTCTTTTAGTTTGGTCGGGCTGTCCATATACGAATGTAGCAGCAAAACTCTTGTCTTTATGGTTAATGATCGTATCATTGTAGTTGTCACAAGACAGGGAGATAGTAATATCAATCTCTTTTTTCCAGAGCAGTGCGAGCCCCCCCCCCCCCCCCCCCCCCCCCCCCCCCCCCCCCCCTTCGGGGCTGTGAGGTTCCACTAGGAATTTTGAATCGTGGTTGAGGAGGGAGAGCTTTTTTGTGACGACCTCTTCTCCATTCTTTGTTTCCATAAGAAACAGGATATCCGAAGCCATTGTTTTATGCAGCTCCTTCAAACGGTGAATTGTTATGGGGTTCCCCAACCCACAACAATTCCAACTCAGAATGGCTAAGGAAGAGGATTTCGCGGATCTTGAAAATCCGATGTCTCCTTTATGATTGCTGGTATGATGGTGCTCCGCGGTTGTGCTCCTTTCTGGGGTGAGTCTACTCTCTGTTCCGATTGATCTATTTGTGGAGAAGGTGCCCCTTAACTAAGTTTGTGTCCCTGTGTGGTCTTTTGTGGTGAGGGTTTAGTTTGCACCATTCTTGAGAGTGGAGAGATTTTGATAAATTTTGACTTCTTTTTTTGCAGGCTAGTCTTTGTCGGTAGTTGTGACGTTGGTGGCTGGTGCCTGAGAGCTGTTTGTTCCAATAGTCTTTGCAGAGAAGGTTGGCTCTCTTCCAAGTCTATTGCCATAGTATTTAGTGGTGGGTCTTCTGATGCAGGTTTCTTTCCTGGTGGCCTTCCTCTCTTGCGTTTTCCAGGTACTAGCTGATTTTCCGGGGGTTGAGGTAGGGGCACCATTTCTGCGTGTGCTTGAGTTTCTGGTCCTTCCTGTCTCTGGTGGGAGGGGCCTCCTTGTTCCCAAACCGTGAGAGCCTGACTTTGGTGGTTTGTTAACGCAATAGTGAGCATGCGTGCGGCCGTCTTTGCCATCATTCCTCTGGTTTCTCCCTCTAGGACTCGTTTCATTCTTGCTGCGCTTTCTTTCGGGTCCCCACAGTTGACATATTGTATTGTAACCTCTTGTAGATCTACCATTATTGCATTTGTAATATTATTTGGTGGTGGCGAAGGGAAAGCTTCGCGGTTCAGGTTGATGTCGATAGGAGGTCTTGTTTGTGTTGGTGCTTCGGACTGTTCATCCCTCAGACCTGTAGATTTCCGTGTTTTCTCTCTCCACACTTGTTTTGTTGGGGATCTGTTGGTGTTCCAGTGACCTCTGGAGACTTCGGTTCTCTCTAGCTGAGGTTCGTTGGTGACTTGGCTGTGGGAGGTCACGCCTGATAGTTGAGTTACGTTCTCTCTGGTAAGGGTGGGAATCCACCGAACCGCTGTGAGCTTTGTCGTTGTAAAATGTCATGTATCCAGGTCCTCTAAGTGAATCCCGGGGTAGGTTCCTCAGTTGATTATCCAGCTTTTGCGAGGGTCTTTCTCCGAACGGTTTGACATGGCGATCAAGTCTCTCGTAGAAAGAACTATGTTTCCTCTCTGCCGTTGAGTACCCTCTGTTAAGTTCCTTGCGCTCTGGGAACTTATCCGTTGAGGTGAGAGTCCTATCTCGGTCAAGGTCTTTCTCCGGGCAGTATGAGCAATGTTTTTCCAGTTTTTCGTATTCCAGCTCAATCACAGCGTCTTTTCCTCCAGGGAATTCAATGACTACTTCTTTGACAAGGGGTTGAAGTCCATTGATCTCGACTCTGATCCTCGCTGTAGTATTTGTTAGCTCGTGGGTTTTCAGGTCACCGATCTCCTCTCCTATCCTGCGAAAGAGTTCTGTTTTCCAGTAGTACAAAGGGATCCCTTGAAGTTTGATCCAGAAAGGGATCTGTGAGGGGAAACTGGGGGAGATTATTGATTTCCATCTTTGTAGGATCAACATCCATCTGGCATAGTGATAAGGTCCGTTGTCGAGGAATCTTTGCAGGTCTTCTTCTAGTTCGAAGCGGACCTGGAAGCAGTTATTTCCCAGATCTGATCATGTGACTCTTCCTCTGGTGTTCCATTGCTTGGAGATTGTTGGTAGTACTACCCACATGTGTTGTTCTGCTGGGTTTGTGAGTCGTCCCAGGAGCGTCAGCTTATTTTCTTATATGAGGTCTGTTCTGTCCAGATCTGGGGCTCGGATTCGTTTTCTTGGCGGGGATGGGAGCCTTGCCGATAGGCATTTCCCATTCTCAGTGTAGGAGTATCTTCGTGTCATTGTGTGGATGCTGGGAATAGAGGCTTTGTGGAAACAATCCTGTTGATTATTGTGGTTGTGGTGGAAAGTTGAGAGTTGGTTCTTGTGTTACCAAGGTTTAGAGGGGCTTACCGGCGATATGGGGAAGGACCCTCCGACCCGGGTTGGGGGTTGAACCGCGGTGGCGTGATTTTCAAGGGACTTTGAAATTTGAAAAACTTCAAAAAGCGGTAAGAAAGGGTGGGTGAGCCAGAAGGTAGACTAAAACCCAGAGGTTAAAGGAAAACTTCAAAAACGTCATCTGGGAGAGTTTTTTTTTCAAAACTTTATGTGGCTGTTAATTTGCATTTTCTAAGAATCAGTGATATTGATGTAAAATTCAAATCATTTGGAAGATTGATTTATTAAAAACTCTTTGCAATATTATTAACATGTTAATATATGGAATATTCATATTAACATGGTAAAATAATAAATATATAAATATTAATATCTAACATATACAAATGTTCACCAATCATAATCATATTTATAATTGAAATTTGTATTAGTATTGTTGTTTTTTCTTCTTTTCTTTCTTCTTTTTTATTAGAAAAATTAATAGAAAGGAAAGAGCAAAAATAAGAAAGAGATCATAAGAATTATAATTGAAATTTTCTTTATGTCATCACGTATTATCGCTATTAGACCATTTCTAATGTATTTTATTATTTTAAAAAAATAGAAAAACTTTAAAATAGAAATAGATTTTTCTCTAATATATTTCACTAATATTTTTTTCATTTTTTTAATTTAAAAAATTAGAAAAAAGAAGGTAAAAGAAGAGAGAGGAGAAAGGATAAAGAGATACTAAAAGATTATAATTAAAAATTTGTATAAACTTAGTAGTAGAGATAAAATGGTCTTTTTGTAATGAACCGTTCAATAAAAAATATCAGTTTTGTTGGCAGATTATCTGAAATTATACATTATAATTTTTTATTTTACATAATTTAATTTTATAAAACAAATTTTTTTAAATATTATATATTATTAAAAATTATTATAATAAAATATTTTTGACAGATTATTTGAATATACAAAGTTCTTACAATTTTAACAAGAATTCTATATAAATTTAACAAAAACTGTGGGAATAGTATGCAATTATACATCTATATATAACATGATGAATAAATCTAGTAAAATTAATCAAATTTTAAATCATAAATACATAATCCTCTAATAGTCAAATTTAAAATTTAATCACTAATTCATAAATACTTTTACTTATAATTTGAGTTGGAAATATCATCTAGTAATCATTAAAGTTCAAATTCATTTTCTCTTTCCCATCCCAAAATGGCATATTCCTTGCTACAAAAGGGGCACAGAAAGCCTAAACTAAAAATCAACTATCGAAATCATATAATAAGATTTATCTACATCATGTGAGGACGACACTTTGTCCAAGTATACAAATCTCTGTAAAAAGTTGATTGAAGAACAACACAATGAGTCTTTTTTTATATATGGCACAATCAAACATCATCAACTAACTATTCTTAGATAATCTACACGTCTCTATTGCTCACTCCAACAAATAGCAACAATAACGAATCTTTACTGAGATAAAGAAACCAATCTTTATTGAAAAAAGATGGTAACTTTCCGACACCACCAAGATCACAATTCATCGTGGTCCCTTTGTATTTAAAACTCTCTTAAGGAAACAATACAAATCATGTTTTCTCTGCGTTCATGCTAAATCTCTATAATTAAGCTTTAGTTAAACAAGCAGGTCTTACTTTGCAAATCTCAACATTAAAGCCTGAATCCATTAGAAGCAGAAGCCAAGCTCGTTGCTGTTCCGATAATCTATCTTTCTCCGATTTCACTTCCACAAGCTTAGCTTCACCTTCATAACCATTCTCCTTGAACCGCCATAGCAACAGATCAGGCATTCCACTGCACCAGCTCCTATAGTCCTGAGCTAAATACCGACAAAGCGATGCTACACACTTACCTCCAACACAAGCCACTGCTGCTCTCAGTTCCTCCAACGAAAACCTCTCCCAAGCCACTCCTCTGCACGCTGTTCCACGGTGTGTTTCATATGATATGATAAGTAATTCTTCAGCCATTCCGTTTGCAACTTTCTCGAGCTGTAACTCTATTGTTTCCTTCCTTGTTAGATAGAAGGACTCAGTCTCTAAGTCCAATGGAGCAGTCTACACAAGGAGAACAAAAGAAAACTCAAATGAGAAACTTTCGTTCTCTTGTATGAGACAAAACAACAAGTGAGCTTCATTGACCTGAAACCGGGTTTGGAAAACACCAGGGACATCGGAAAATAGAATGTCCCACATGAGAAGCCCGAAAATGGTTAACCAGATGCTACTCTCTGTATGAATCCCTTGCCATCCTCCTCCTTCTCCATTGTAGTACTGCAACGCGAGCTGCTCGACTCCACATTGTTCTCCGTCTTCTCCATAAAACCTGTTTTTCATTCCAACCTCACAATTCAGTGATCTCCCTTGAATGGTAACCTGAAAACACAGAGTAGCACATTTGAGGCAAGGCAAGGAGATGAAATGGATTTTCCTTTATTTTCACAAACCTCAGGGATCTTGTGTTCGATGAGATTTGAAAAGGTGGGAGCTTTCCAGCGTCTTGGAGGTTTCGCAAGACGAAGAATACGTCTTTGCAGAGCTATTCTTGAACCAGCACGCACCCATGGATCCAACAGTCCTTGCTCTGCTACTGAGAGGCTCTCATTGGGACGTCCCATGTGCTCCAAATCCGTTGATAACCTGACTGTCCAGTATCCTCGTCTCGCGTCACAATTGAAACAACTGAGCAACCGCCTCAGTAGATAAACTGCTTGGCTATACCTGAAACGAGAGACGCATGTTTCAACAGGAAAAAAAGAAGACAAAAGATAATCCGAACAAGTAAGATTGTTTTCACATGCCTCTTGTGGTTCTCGAGAAAGGAAACTCCTAAAAGAACAACCTTTGAGTAAACCCATGGAGCTGTAAAACGATTAAACGCAGAAAGGTGCGCAGAATCCGAAGAAGAGCTGGATATGCAAGTTTCAGCAATCATGGTGCATTTCGACACTGACGGAGAATCCTCACTGTCGAGAGACTCATCCATCAACTGAGCCACTTCAATGGCCTGTAATTGGAAGCTTTGAGATATTGTAGACAAACAAGTCTGGTTCCTTTTTTATTTCAATATAGACAAGTAAACACCTCTTCATATGCTAGAAGCGTAGTCCGATCCGAAAATACTTGCTCTGAGTCAATGCATTTGTAATTTGGGTATTTGATAATACCGAGATCCAGCAGAACAAAAGAGGATAGATCTTGCTCTCCATTGAGAAAGAAAAGCCTCTGCAACATAAAACCATGTTTTTTTATTCTCTCCTCAGATAAAGTCGGCTAGTTTCCGAAAGTATAAATACCAAAAATTCACCTCAACACGCCATATGAGTGATTCTGCTGTAGTGGATATTTTAGCACATAGTCCTGTTCTTTCTAGAATCATTGTTGCTATATTTTTCCTAAGATGTAAACAAAACAACTCAACCTCAAAGAGAAACAGAACTTGCTGAGAAAGGAAATAAGCTTTACAAAACTAATTAAAAAAGAAAACAGACCTCGTTCCATCATTGTAGCAAGAACAAAGTGAATTAATTAGATCTTTTTTTCTTGAGCCGCCACTGAACATCTGGATTACCAATAAAGCAAACCATTAAGAGAACAACAACCTTTGACATCTAATCTAATACTTCCTATAAACAGATCAAAGATATATCCAACCTTGTTCATAGATAAGATCTCACGAAGTTCAGTGACGTTAAGCAACTCTACGATCTCCTTTATCTTTTGGTAATCTAGTTCATTTGCGTCCTTCACTGAACTCATAAATCCCCTGACTGTACATCATATAGATATTAGCTTTCTCTAATATGCTCAGAATAGTTCAGCTAACTAGAATAAGTTACTGTGTGTGCGTATGTGTGTGTGTGTGTGTGTGTGTGTGTGTGAACGTGTTCAAGCCCATCTCATCTACCTGTTAGGTCCTTCAGGGCTTGAAGAGAATCAGACACCTCAGGGTATGAAATATTTGATAGCCTGAACCAAGGTCCTGAACAACCATGTGTACAACCAATTTAAGAAAAGTATGATGAGGTGCATAAGAATTAAAATTTCAAAGAAAGGTGTCCGCAAAAATTAGGCAAGAGTCGTGGCCACTAGAAGAGTAGCTACCTTGAAACAAGTAAAGATTAGCGAAGTAAGCGAGTTTTGGTTTCCTAAACACTACAAATGAGATCATATAGCTTTCTATAAAACCTAACATCATTCTAATCTACTCCACCAACAGCCACAAAATGTTTACTCGAAAAGGTAGAAAACAAAATTTCAGAATAGGATGTCAATTGTTCAAGGTTGCTTTCTGTACCATTTAAAACATACTGAAAGCAAAGAAACAAAACTAGAAGGGGCAATGCAAAAAGGGAATCTAACAGAGTAGATACCTTTTCGTGTGTAAAGACGGATAAAAAGTCTCTGGCTATCCTCTGAAAGAGTGGGGAAAGATTCTGTAAACCAAAACAGGAAACAAGAGCATAGAAAATTAAATCATTCATTCCAACAACTTCAAGCGAAAAAACGATAAAAAAAAACTGTAAAAATCAAGAATACCCAAGAATGTCTTTTCCTCGGCTGTGAAAAGGTGAGAGCAACTTCTTAGAACCTCTTGTACTAATACGTTGAAGTTCAGCTGGTATCTTGTCGTTTTAGGCGGAAATTGCATCTGATGCTCAACAACCTCAATAACTTTCTCCCACAGAGGTTTAAACTCTCCAGCAAATTCACATTCTTTCCAACCATCAGATATCATCTTGTGACAAACAACTTTGATCGGAACAGCTTCAGAAGAATTCTCCGGAACAGATGTTATTGTCCCCTGCAAAAAATTATCTGGCTACATCATATGAACCTGACGTTGTAGATCTTAGCATTTCAGCTTATATCATAGCAATCACAACGAAGAAGACGTAAAACATCAGTCACCAACCTCAAACTTAAGGTCATACTTGTCGATCAGCGGGGACAAGCACTGGGAAACATCTTTAGGTAGATACCCAAGCATTTCAGACAACTCAGAGTCTGCAGAAAGAACCTAGTGCGAAAAGTAAAAATCCAAATGCTTTAAGCAATACATAAAGACACCAGAATTAGCACACACACACACACACAAGAGGACAAAGGCCAAACCTTTATAGCGTTGCGATCCTTAATCTTCTCAGGGTGTCTCAAAAGACAGACTTTTCCCCCAATTTCTAAATCTTCAACATCACTGAACTTCCTACCAACTATAAAGGTTTGTATAGCTTCACCATTGGATTCATCTAAAGTCACAGCTTTTGAAATCTCCTCACTACTTGGAGAACATGAGTCATCGTCAACGTTGCAGTCGCTTGTTTGCACCAAATTGAATTTGGAAGTTTCGGAATCGAGTATTGGTTGTTGCTGTGTACGGATTACAAGACCATCTTCCGATTGTTTTGACCCTGACCAGAAATGTGACTGGAGAAGAGTGGTCTGAGTTAATTTCCGTTTCTTCTTCGCGGATAGACTCAAATCATCTAGAGAGGTGAAAGAGGATTTGTTAAATTTCAATATCCCTAACGACGATGAGCAAAAGACAGAACCTTTTTCTTAAATACCCACCAGAGAATTTGCTCGGGTCATCGGAAGGAATTGCAATTTCCGGAAAACGACCATCATCTCCGGCGGCTGAGATAAGATTGCCACAGTCGTTGACCTCGAGATTTAACGAATTCTAAAGGGAAAGTTCGATTAAAGGGATTAGCCTTATTGATAAGGGAAAAAAATGGGGCAGATTTGAGGAAGAAGATGGATACCGGAGTAGGAGCACAGAGAAGATGGTGGCGATTGGGGAGAAATCGACGGCGTTTTCCGATCAACTGGAGCAAGCTCTCCCGTCCGGTAAGCATTTCCCGCCGTAGCGACGCCGACGCGGGAAATCTTTTAGATTTGGCCTTTTGGTTTGTTTCTCTGCCCTTTCGGTTTTGCCATTTTACTGTTTTTGTCGGGTTTTCGACATTTTTTTTTTGTAAAACATAATTTCTATTGACACTTACACAAATTAAAGAAAAAAATTAAGAAAATTAAATCTCAAAAGTCGTGATAAAGGAGTGGTTTATTTTCGATTAGCCATATGGTAATTGAATCTTGACGAATTCTGATGTTTCTATTCCATCTTCAAAACTTCAAAATGTGAACTGTGTTGTGTAAAAAATGTAAATAATCATTTCTATTTTTCGGGTGGAAGCTTTCAAAACGCGGTCGTTTCTCGTAATCTAAAGGCAATATTTTCTACATTGTAAATTTGTAATGCCTTTTTGTTTGGTTTTGCTTTGTTTTGAAATAGTTATATATAATGTTTGAATGTGTAATGCGTGTTGCTAGTTATGATGATTAACTCTTTCCACGTCTCTTTTGAACCCCAAAACCAGCCACCTCAGGGCTTTAATCAGCAATGAACTCTCTTCATACTGAGAATTTTCAACATTTCTATTGGAAAAATGGGGTTAGACATTTAGATCCGATGAATCAATAGAAACTGGTTTTAAGTACGGAAGTTCCTGAAATAGCATATAGCAGCAAAAAAGAGAGTTCCTGAAATAGCAAGTGACAACAGAAACTCTCTGTAAACACTTTGTGTTCATGATGTATGTTTACAGGAAAGTAAATGAGTAGGATGGTATTAATTGCATCAACTCAAATCTTTTTGAAGGCATAATGAGTAATGATTCTTATTAGCAACATTCACATAGATCCATGTAACTCTCAAGATTTTTTTACCTTGAAAGTAAATTTTTTACTCTTGGTATGTAAACTTCAGATTTTACTTTTATTCACCCTAAAGATTAAATCATTCCTGATCGAACCAATAGTTACTAGACACATTAAAGCTAGAAAGATATATCTCTCACTCTCTTATGTTGTTTGTGTCTTGTAATCGAAAAGCCGGTATTCCAAAAAGTTTGAAGATAGATTTGACATTTAAAGGGGCCATGTTAGGTTGCAGAAGTGAGGCCAGCTCTCTGATCAGATGTTTGAACATGTTAGGGATGTTAATGAAGATGATGGAGAAGACAAGGCACGTTATAGGAATCATGTTGTCCCACTTTCTCTTTAATACAACCACATCGTATCATTTTATCACCATTATCTCACACACTGCCTCATACGGCTGTACTTTTTTTTCTTTCTTCTTCTTCTCTCTTCTTAATTTTTTTTTTATTTTGGATTCAATGATTGGGTTTTCCTAAGTTTAAGGGCTGTCATCTAATTTATTCTTTGTTTTTTTTTTTTTTTGAATTTTTGTAAATCTTATACTATAATTTTCCTAACACCATTCTCATGTGAAGATTATTGATATATTGTTTGTGAGTCACATGTTCCACTTTTTTGGGGGTTGAGATCTGTTGTTATTGCTGCCAGAGTAACCAAACATGTGAACCGGATTGTACTGAACCAAAACAATCTGTTTAATTCGGTTTGGTAGTTTAAAGAAACCAACCCAACTCTGAAATTTCATAAAAATTACCAAAATGTAAGATAAATTTATACTGAACTGCACATGATCGAATCACTATTTGATTCATTCATACATTTCCCAAAACCAGTAAAAAAATAACTCAAAAACTGAGTTTGTCCTCTTGTGGTAGATTTTCAAAATTATGTTTCTTTGGTGTTATTACAAAAAAATTCCAAAGGATCTAGCAATCAATGAGCTCAAGTCTATTGTCTGAAGGGCTACTGGATAAGAGTGTGGATAACATTATCATTATCCCCCATAAGACTTAGAGATCCATTATACTGAGATAACGCAAAGTTTCATCATGAATTACATTGTTATCCATTGGTTATTATTATCTTATTATATACAAGTGGTTAATTTCAATGTGATTAGTTTATTATATATAATTTCATTTCATGATTTCATCTATGGTTTTCGTAAAACCGGTAAAAATTATAAAACTATACTAATGAAACCGGAATTGAAATTTGAGAACCAACATCAAAAGACTTCATTTTTCTTGTTCCAAACTAAAATGAAAAATCACACCGTGAATTCGATTAGATCATCACAGGGATTAATAACATCCGAATCCACCAAACTAATCATCGGATAAAAATTCACTAACATCTAAATTAAACCGGAAAAAAAAAGCCGCGACCACATAAAGATAAGGAGAAAGAAGAGGAGACATGGCGGGCTAATACAACCTATACACATAAGAAAAAGAAAAAGAAAAAGAAAAAAAGAGAAATTCGAATTCTTTTTTCACGTAATTACACATTACGTGGAAAAAAAAGATAGTTTCTCAATTTCGTTGCAAGAAACTAATCAAGAAGAGAGATTGTTTGAAGAGTTTGACTTGTCAAGAATTGACCACATGACGAGGACATCTTCATAGCCACAAGCCATGACGTCACCTTGAAGCTCCTTCACCGATCGTCTCTCGTGTTCTTCTCTCGCCTTGGCGTTTGCGTGGCGGTTGTGCGGCGTTTGCTGCGGTTGGTTGAAAAACGTCGCCGCTTTCTTGAATGGCGTTGCGATTGTTTTCTTCCATGAAGTCATTTTTATGCAAAGATGAAATTTGTTTAACTGTGAATTGCTTTCGATGCGTCTCTTTTGGAGTTGGAATGGAGAGGCTTCTTCTATGTATTTATACACCACATGTGAACACAAAAACATATTTCTGTTTTTTTTTTAATAAAATTGTAAGAATTGTGATAAAATAAAATAAAAATGATTAAACGAAATTTAAAAAGTAATAATATTGAAGAAAGGGAGAGAGAGTGTGGTCAAAAGAGGCAAGATCCGCGATAAGAGCATTCCCATGAACCCATCAATTCGTTTTCTTATCCTCCCCACGTGATTATATCTCTTTTGCTCATAAACTTACACAATTTTTACCACTTTTTCATAACTTTTACATTCAATTCAAATTACATTAGAACATGATAGTAGTTTAACCGGTTACAAGAAAATGTAAGTTACTAATACATTTTACAGATCAGGGTAACTTCTATAGTTATCAAGAACTAAAGTAGTATGGTCACTGGCCAAAGTTAATTAAGAATCCATGTTCATTGGACTATAATTTTTTAATCACTATATGCATGAAGTAGTTTATGTTTTAGTTCATACTCTTCAGTCATTAAAATGTTGTTATCATAATGTAATAAGATATACTATGTATTCTAAACTTTATACTATTTTAGAACCTACATTAATCGGCTAGACTTTTCTCAATCTAAACCTAAAGAAACTAAAATACAATGAAACTTGAGAATATTCGAAGTATATAACCAAAGCACTAGTCTAGACCAAATCAAAATTTGGTTCTTCTAATAGTAATAGCTTAAGTAATACAAAAAGTTGAACAGATCTTGCAATGGTTTCTTATGTTGAAGATTGGTTTATGACTTTATGGTGATATATAAATGCTATTTCTGACCATAAACCGTTGGTAGATATTTGTTAAGCTCCATGGTAGATATTTTTGAAGTTTCATTGGTAGATATGAATACGCACATGACACATGACAATGATGAGAAAAAGTCAAGAATTTGCCTTTCCGGTTATAAGTACTGACGACAAACAAAAAACACTTACATCGACTTTCTATGGGGTCTCACTTTCTACTTATGTTTTTACCCAATCACCTTTTTTCTCATCGATGTTTGCGACAATTCTAGATATTTTCTTCTCTCTTATGCTCTATCTCTCACACAAATGCAGACACATGTACATTTACATGTAGTTTAGTCAATTTTATGCATTATGATCAATCATATGATATCAATACCAACAAAAGTTATCGAGTGTTACGAGATCTGAAGATGGAATTTGAAGATTACGGACGTCGAAAAGATATTTTTACCTACTATTTAAAGACTGATTAATGTGTTAGCCTTATAAATATCTATAAACACTAAATTATGTATGGATTCATCCAAGAGTTTTGGACATTAATTTTGTTGTTGTTAGGTGTGAATATGACTTCATTAACAATATATCGTTCGTAGCTTAAGGAGAATATACCAAAGTCTTCATCTCATGAAGAAAAAAAAGGAGAAAGAGAAAGAACAAAACTCGGAAAATAAGTCTTAAGTTTTTTTTGTTATAAAAAACATTATAACAAATGTTTCTATTTTAATATCATAGTGAATCGATGGATGAACTCTAACTGATATTATATTATTTTTAATATTAGATTTTTGTAAATCCGTTAATTGAGTACATTTTATTTATATTTTGATTGCTAAGTCTTACCTTACCTCGATTGTTTTCTTAGTTGATATCCAAAACAATGTGCGATATGTTCGTTTGAATTAGAAATTCTAATGGTTTTGATACTAAAAAGATTAGGCTCACACAAACAAACTTACCGATTCTATCATTTGTTTCCCTTTAAATATGAGATATTTGTTTTTTTTCTTTCGTCTAAATGTCAAACAAAAAGATTACGTTATCAATTAGAAGTGAATAACTCCTTAATTTCTAAAATAACCGAACGGCTATAAATCAAAATCTAAAAATAGAAAGATGATGGAAATTGATAAACGGTTAGGTGATAAAAATGTAGGAGCCAAAGATGGGTAAATGTGTATTATTTCACAGGACCAATGGATTAGGAGTTTGAGGTGGGCAGTGTAATGCGCAGAGTATCCCATGTGATCTCCACATGTCTTCTTCTCTCTTTCTCCATTTTTTTCTCCTTATTTTCTTCTCTCTTATTTATTTGTCATTTCAAAATTCCATTCAATTTCTTTTCTTTTATCATATCTTGCTTTGACATTTTTTATACAGTCTAAATAACAAACATATATACTCTAGTTTTCATTGGTACAACCTATTGAACCGCATAAAAAAATATTCCAACTTTCTTTTTATAGTTTTACAATTTTTCTTTTTGTATTATCGACCTTATTGTTCCATTTGATATAATTTACTTTCATAATTTATTCATTCCACTAGTTTATTTACCAATCAAACTTTGTTCAGTGCTCTAATCAAACTTTTCAAACTAAAATGAAATTTTTTGACTATATTAGA